ATATATATATGTAGAGAATGCCCCAGGGTTTATCGGCCAAATTGCAAGAGCATATTCTACAAGTGAAAATAAAAAAAATTGTTATTTGAAATTCGGTTAGATTTTATAACTTTATTACAAAGTTATAAAAAAATGAAATTGAAATAGGTAACAGCAGATTTAACGAACCAATGAGCAGGTCAGTAAGCATAGCTGCTCAAATATTACTAATATCAACAAAAATTACTTCATAGGCAGATATAATATGTACAAATCATAGATGTTCGATATGTCTTCTTTCTATTTAAATGCAATTCTGACGTCTATGGACTGACATATACTTCCAAATATTCCTTAAATTAGTGTATTTCTAAGTAAATTCTTTCGTGTACACTCACTATATAAATACTTATAAATAACAAAAGTTAATTTACATCGAAAGGGTTGATTTTGAGACCCATGATAGACATTTTTTACTTCTCTTAATAAGTTCTTAAAAAATCGGCTTATATACATGTAGCGATCTACGCTATTCAGTCGAATCCTGTATATGTCTAAACTTAACAGTATTATTAACAATACATTTAATATATTTTACATTAATCTTATATTTAATTAATATTGTATATTCAATGTATATTGCAAGATCTAATTATTATATTGCATTATAGATATTACAGATACAAAGGCTCTAAGTAAAACTACAGAGAAGGTAATTGAATAGTACTGTTATTTATTCACACTAGAGATATTTAATTTTTCAATATACAATGTAAATATTTCAACGTTTTAGATTAAAGAAAATCGATAATAATTTATGTATTTTTTTATAGACAGTAGGAAATACAACTGAAGCATGCGGAGACTGCTATGGAGCAGCTAACGAAACATTAAATATAAAGTAAGTTGGCTTATAAATTTGACATATCGTTTATAAGAAAGGACTTTGACAAATAATATTTTTAGATGTTGTAATACATGTGAAGATGTGAGAGAAGCTTATAGGCTTAGACAATGGGCTCCTCCTGTTCCATCTACGATCAAACAATGTCAAAATGATAAATCGGTAGAAAAGATGAAACATGCTTTTACGCAAGGTTGCCAAATTTATGGTTATATGGAGGTAAATAGAGTGGGTGGAAGTTTCCATATTGCACCAGGTGATAGTTTCTCCGTTAATCATGTACATGGTATGTTAAAATTTATTCATTTATGTTAATACATTAAGCACGATGTCAGTCCCTGAAAACTGACAGTGAATTTTTTATCTGAGCAATGGCTTTCCTTGGTAGTTGCTTTTTTACTATTCCTCATCTGATTATCTATTGTTTATCCTTTATATTCTTCTATATTGACTATGCTATTCCTATAGCCCAAACAGACTATAAAACACAATCATCATTACAGTGTAAGTGTTATGTTCTGTTTATACTTTATAAATGAACATCTCGCTGAGTAATCATCATTGCGTACTATTTGAATGGAAAGTAGAGCAAAATCGGCTCCACACTCAACATGTTAAAAAGAAATGTTATTAATTTAATTTTATACCCATTCAAGTTATTAGATAATCTTATAGGAAATAAAAAATTCTTTTTGTTACAGTACATGATGTGCAACCCTATTCTTCGTCTCAATTTAACATGACTCACAAAATCCGTCATTTAAGTTTCGGACTAAATATACCAGGAAAAACAAACCCGATGGATGATGTTCTTGTAGTTGCGCTAGAAGGTATGCTATTGTTTTCTTAAAAGTATTTTATTAAGAAATCAACAATATGCTTTAGTATTACAACCTTATGTAACGTAAAGGTGCTCTGTTTATATAGTTTCTAAAGTATTAGCATCGTATTCCCATTCCGATAGCCATAAATACACCAAATGTACCACCACCCTGAATCATACTTTTACCAAGTTGAGTTATCAATTCTCTTCCTCTTAATCTGTATCTAAATAAAACAAGAATCAATTAACATTTTATTTGAACAATTTTTTTTTCTATATTTTTAAGTAGATTATATTTCTTATATACTTGATGGCTGAAAATCCTGTAAGAATTGCACCAGAGGCTATACCAACACAAAAACCCATGGTGAAACCCATTCTGACCCTATCCCAGCATGTAGCTTTGTGCTGTTGCACTACACTTGATGAAATTGGCATTGTGACCTATAAATTAACATTACAGCTTATTGGCATTTATTGTTAACATTTTTTAATAATAATATTGTTCGAGATTTATTACTTTTTTCATTTTATTACATAATTTCTTTGATAAAACTAACTAATCATAAATATGTAATAATAAGTATAATAAAAACATAAGAAATCTCTATCTTACTATGAAAAAAAGGAGAAACAAAAAACCTTTAACGATTAATTATTATTTATTTTATAAATCACTAATGCACTCACCGTATATACTTGTATTAATCTCTTGGAAAAGCGTATTTCTATCTTTTTTTGTGTTTTTAGTCGTTTAATAAGCCGGGATCCAACTTATGTTACAATTGAGACGCCATATTAGTTTTACGGTAAAACGTAATGGCAGCAACATGTTTCTATTACTTCCGTTTCGAATGACTTCAATATATCGATATTTGCGTGGCGGTTTATTTGAATGAGAAATTTGTATTATACTAAGAAACTTCATTTAAGAGGTCATTTAGGTCAAAAGTTTTGAAAAAATCCACAATTTCTTTTTGCATATATTGTAGGTTAATACTTTTAAGAATGTAATTATTAACATTAAGACATTAAAATTTTTATTTTAACTTTTATTCGAATATTTCTCGAAAGACGATTTGTCATACTTGCGTAGGTAACAGAAAGAAAAATACAAAACCGATTACGGTCAAATGATCCTTTTAAATTATATGTATGTATATTTTATTTGTTTCCCTATAGAGTTTACAAGGGCTTCCACTTATACAACTTTTATATTCCTTATCTCTTCACTAATTTACGATCTAATCTTTTATACATTCCATTTTACTTACTTATTTAAACTTATATATTATTTCTCTATACATGATGAACCCTTTAAATTGTTCAATTTAATTGTATTAATAATAATGTAAATATATTCTAATAAATGCTTGGTTTTGCTTTGGTTTTCAGGAGCAATGATGTTTTACCATTACATAAAAATTGTACCAACTACCTACGTGCGTGCAGATGGTTCAACTCTTTTAACAAACCAATTTTCTGTAACACGACATGCTAAACAAGTATCTCTTTTTACCGGTGAATCAGGCATGCCTGGAGTATTTTTCAGTTATGAATTAAGCCCTTTAATGGTAAAATATACAGAAAAGGCTAAGTCTTTTGGACACTTTGCGACAAATACTTGTGCAATTATTGGCGGTGTTTTCACTGTAGCAGGGTTGATAGATTCACTTTTGTACCATTCAGTTAGAGCGATACAGAATAAAATTGAATTAGGTAAATACAATTAAATTTGATAATAGGACAACATGAAAAAGGATTATTACAAACAACACTATGAAGTGTGTGCTATTTTTAATTGAACTTTTTTCGATTTTCTATTTGCACAAAGATGATCCACATTATATAGTATGTTTGCAAAATAAATGATATGGAATCTGTATGTTGGAACCATATTACAGAAGAATCTCTCAGAAAATGCGAACTTTGTACATAGCAAAGCTAATCAATAATTACAATCTATGTATTATAACATTTTATTACAAAGTTTTGAACTGTTTAATCATCATTATCATTAACATCAAAGATAATCGTCTAGACCAATTGCGATGTAAAATATTTGTGTATACAAATGTGTAAATACCAGGAAAAGAGAAAATCATAAAAATAAAAAATTAATATAAAAATATGAAAGCAAAATATGTCAACAAAGAAGGCGTTTATTTATATAAAATAAAATTTTTTATTTACAATTAATTGTAAAACAATTAAGGTAAAAGACTTGATTATGAGACAGATGTCCCCTCCGATGAGACATTCCAATAAATAGAAAATATTTCAACTATGCATTTATTTAAATTAAATTTTAATCTAATTAAAATTTTAATTTTAACCGTTTGGCTATCGGAGGGTTTTCAAAAAACACGATCGAAAAAGTAGCGCTAGATCACCGTCAATTGTCTGTATCGACGAAATGCGCTAGCATTTTTCGACATGAAATCTGAAGAGCGCGAAAGCAGCCCGTGGTAACCAAACGGTCAATCTAACCTAAAATATTGTTTTTGTATACTATCAGTTGTATCAAAATTTTGTTTCGAATTTTTGATTCATAATAAATAAAATATTTGTTATTAATGAAAATAATCTAATACACACTCTTTTTTTCGATTATTCATAATAATGAAAAAGTCTAAAAAAAACTATAAAAAAATGTACAATATCGTCAAAGTCTGTAAAAAGTAAGAGCGAATTAAAGAGTAAAGAAGTATTGAAATCAAAGATTTTTTAAAATTCTTATACAAATAAGAGAAAAAAATTCTCAGAAGAAAAAATGACAAATGCTATTCGTGCCCTTGATACTAGAGTATCTATTAGAAAAGCTGCTGCAGCTTATGGTGTACCAGTGTCAACGCTAGCTAGAAGGAATAAAATTCCAAATGTTGTGCCCAAAAAACAAGTCCCTCTCAAATGCTTCCCATTTCTATAGAAAATGACATTGTATATTGGACTATATCAAGAGCAAAATTAAGATATCCAGTATCAAAAACTCAACTGCTTGATTCAGTTTAAAAATATGTAATTCAATAAAGTTAGAGACAAAATTCACTGATGATAGGCCAGGACATCACTGGTACGAAGCGTTTGGTAAGAGACATCAAAATATTTCAATAAGAAAACCACAAAAATTGGATGAAAGTAGAGCTGACGTGACAAGAGATGAATTGAAAAAGTGGTATGACGAACAAAGAGAGTATTTAAGATAAAAAAATTTGCTAGATATTTCGCCAGAGTTTATAATTGTGCTGAGACAAATATGATGTTGTGTCCTGATTCAGAAAGAGTTTTTACTGTGTATAAAATTGACGATGGTGGAAAATTAAGCCATACCATTTTGTTTACGTATAATGCACAAGGAGATCGTGGTCAACCAATGATAATGCTTAATAATAATAATAATAATAATGATTAATAATATATAATTATAAGTATAATGTATAATATTCGGAGATAATATATATTCTGTAAAATCTCTACATAATATAAATTCTGTAAAATCTCTAGATAATATAAGTAGGCCCTAACTTTAATAATATTGATATTATATTTAACTTTAAATAATGATTTTATTTATTAACCTAATCCAAAAATACCAGATGAAATGATTAACATTAGCAATGACCGAATTGAAATAGTTTTTGTTGATCTTCATGGCGATAATAATAAATTAGGAAAAAATATTATCTAATTATCCAATATAATTATCTTATATTAGACCCAAAAGTCTAATGAAGATAAGGATGATTCATTATTTACCCTTAATAATTCAACTCCTGAAAATAATCAAGCAAATGATCAAACAGGTTCGAGTCAATCATTATTTGGACCGCTCATTTTGAAAGTGGTGTGTCCATTTTAAAAAAAAAAAAGAGATATCACGTAATTTATACTTAATTTAGTGTAAAATTTTTATTTATAACTTGTTAGTATTTAATTTCTTAAAAAATGTCAATGCTTTAACCAATTTAAAATTGGCCAGTAAAAGAAATTGCATAATCATTGATTATGAAAGTGATGTAAGTCCAATTTCCATAGAAAAAAAAGAAAAAAATAATATAAAAAAGAATTTCCTGTATACACCACAGGAATATTATGATATTATAAAACAATGTAAACAACATAATAAATTCATTTTATATGAAATGAAACAACGAGAGAATTTCGTTTCGACGAAGAACCTACAGAACGCAATCAAAAAACAGATAACAAGAAACAATAATAAAAAAAGGTAAATTGGTTGCAAATAAGTTGGATGAGGTTTCGAAAAAGTGCACCATATACTATTTTATATAAAATGTTGATGAAAGACACAGAATTTAAGACTTAAAATTTATCACCTACATGTCCAGAAAAACCAGTCAAAATTTGAAAAAATCGCCCTGTGCATTTGTATTACGATGCTATGCCTATTTCTTACGAAAAATATAAAAATATCCAGCAGTTATTACAGTGTGTACCTACTGTGCATCATAAATATTTAAAAACACTGCCACATAAAGAGCATAAATAAATACTACTAATAATGTTAAATTTATCAATGTAATTAACGTTAAAAATAACAAATACTACTTCTACTTTATTTATTGTTATTATTTGAAAAAAAAAATTGGATTAATATGAAACATATTTTAAGTGATATTTGATTTTTCAAAACTGAAATTAAGCGATTTTAACAATTGACTAATTTTGAAAGTGGTGTAAGTCCATTTGCAGCCTGTAAATATACTTTATTTTAGTTAAATTAGCCTAAAAGTAATCAAATTACATATCAATAAATTAACAGAAACATTGTCAAACTTGATATAATTAATGAATATTTTTAAATTAACCAATATGCAAACCTTTAATTTTCTCAAAACAGCAGAAATTGAACTTATATCACTTTCAAAATAAACGGTCCATTTATCTTATGCTAATTAATGTAGTTTATTTGTTATAAATAACTTTGCAATAATAATGTACACATATTGCAGAAATATTCTCAGAAATAATGAAGGAGATGAGCTACAATTCTAATCATACGATTATTTCTTCAGAAATACAAGAAAAACCTATTTCTTTTACAATTTCTAGCTTAGATAATGCAAACAATAACAAGGAAAATAATAGTCATATCGCTAACTCACACACAAAGGTTTTTTTTAATTAATTAATAAATGCGCCTGATTTTATATTTTATTTTAATATATCTTTAATTATACAGACGAGAGAGAGAGAGAGAGAGAGAGAGA